AGTTTATTATTATGATCATTGACCAACGGACCCGAAGAACATTATGATTGTTTAGTGTAGGAAGGTTAATATCATTAAGAACACTATGGGATATAAAAGATGTAGAATGAGACACCGAAGACAACTAAATAATAAAATATGGGGGGTGCCATCTAAAGAAATGAAGTTATGGTATTTCCAAGTTTCAAAAAGGTAACGTGCCATTGTAAAGTGACCAAACGTTCTAGACAGCCATACTCGGCACCAAAACATACTCCATCATGTTGCTTAAGCATGTTCTGAATCCTAAATTGATATCCCAAAAATCGAGTGTTCTTTGATTTTTTGAACAAATGTCTGCTGGAGCAGATTTTTCTAGAAAAATTCGAATAACTCGAGAACGGAAGAATCAAATTGCAAAAAGTAAAGTCATTCATAAACTTTGAAAACAGACAACTCCAAATATGTACAAATATACAGGGTGTTCCATTTAAAAAAATAAAGTAGGTGGCGACTTCCGGTGTAACCGGAAGAGTTAGATATCTGAAAATATTTTAGTCGAAGAGAACGCAATTGATAATACTTAAATCTGAATTTTCAAATTTTTATTTTGGCCAGAACCCTGTAAAGTTGTAATGGACGGTCGTCGTGGATGACCCTGTATATGAATATTAAAAAACATCGAACACTCAATACGTGTTTATTTCAATGTAAGAGTTAGAAATATTATGTAAAATTAATTGGTGACCCCGATTAAACACACAACGAAAAACGTCATAAAAAGAAGAAGCGCTCTACCATATTATACCAGCCCTTGCTACATCGTACCGGCCCAACCCAAACCTTACTCTGCAGTAACGGAAGAATCCCAATCTTTGGTACGCGATACGACTCCGACCCTTGCGACACAGTAATATGTACTCACTCACAAGGGAAGTATCAGAACTGTCCCTCACCGATTTTGTTGAAATTTGGTACAGTGATAGTATGGCCAAAAATAAAGTTTACGTATTTTTTTATACGTGCTAATAAAGCCCCTAGAGCGAGTTATAAGGGTTGAAAATGGGGGCGAAATATATATATTAGCTTATAGGCTGAAAACGAAAATAGCTATCGAAATGTGGTAAGTGTAAACTGATATTCATTTTCAAAGAGCTTTCCATTGATATACCACACATATATCTGAGGGCTTCAGGGGGTAAACTACCCCTAGTTTTTTGGAATATTTTAAAAACCACCCTGTCGATTTTGGCGATAATATGTGTCCTTATAGTACGTTTAAAAATATTAATGACGTGTTTTTTCTTATTTGCCCCTGACCATCCCCTGCAAAATTACGGGGTATGATAGATAACCCATTTCCTTAAAAATAATGTGATAAACTGTTGAACACTTTTGAACAATATTTTGAAGAAAACCATAAATTAGTTGTAAATTAAGATTTACGCAGTAAAATAAACCCTATACGACATTAAGGGGAGGCTGGGGTTAACCACCCCAAAAATTAATTTTTTTGCGAAAACTGTTTGTCGATTTTGGTGCAATTTCCCATGATGATTTGTTTATACGTTAGGTAGTACTATTGTAAGACCTTACAAGGGTTAGAAGTTTGGGGTAGAAAATATATTTTCGCTAATAACTTTCATACTCCTACGGAAAAAGCTTTTTTATCCTTATTCTATTTAAATAACACAATTATTAATAATGAGTTAAAAAGTAACTGACAAAAGAATGGTTGATTATCACAAATTGTATTCTACATTATTAATTTAATTTCTTTTTTTTTACTTTTTTTATTCAATATATTGTTGGCAATAATGAAAATCATGGAAAAAATGTTTTAAACACAACGATTGTTTACACCATGCACAAGTTATAACAGCTATATCTCCACAGATATCGCACGTAGGTTTTTCATTGGAAAAGCAAACCTCCACGGGATTTTCAAACTGTTCTGGTCTCTCTTCTATATATCCAGATGCAAACCAGGCGAGTTTTAAAAACATTAATAAATCGTGGGGAAGACAACTGATTATGCGTTAAGGATTGCAATTTTAAAATATTATCTCGCTGATACAAATTGACATCGTACTGGTAGAGAATAACTTGATCAGAAAATCTTCTAATGAAATTTTTCCATATTCTAAAACCAAATACATCCAGGGGTTGAATTTGACCTGTTGTCCCTGCAGGTATAGACAAATATTTAAACTTAATATCTGATGGAGTTATTTCACTAATAATTTCAGGGCAGTGGCCACTCCAAGAATCCAGCAATAGTAATGATTTGGGTCCGGTGTTTGGGAAATAGACATCTTGTAGAAAATTTTTCATATGAGCAGAAGTCAGTTTACCAGACTTTGATACCAAAACGAATATGTTATCTGCTTTGAACATTGTATTTATTACCCTCGGTCCAAACGTACCAGAGGATCCTTTAAAAACAATGAAAAGAGGAGAAAGTAGCTTTCCATTTGCAGATATGATATGCGTGTGCGACTAACCTCACACTATATAAGGACAGGGTTATCACTTTACTACATTCAGATTTAACACAACTGATAGAAACAATGATTATCAACAATACATTAAATAAAAATAAATTTAAAAAAAACTAAACTAACAATTAGAATACAATTTGTGATACTTAACCATTTTTTTTCAGTTGCTTTTTAACTCATTATTAATATAATGGATAATGGAGTATGAAAAAATATATTTTCTACTCCAAACTTGTAACCCTTGTAAGTTCTTACAACAGTACTACCTAACGTATAAAAAAATCATCGTGGTAAATTAGGGTGGTTTAAATCTTAATTTACATCTAATTAATGGTTTTCTTCAAAATATTATTCAAAAGTGTAACAGTTTATCACGTTATTCTTAAGGAAAGGGGTTATCTATCATACCCCGTAACTTTGCAGGGGATGGTCAACTTTGCAGGATTGCAGGTAGAAATATTCCAAAAAACTAGGGGTAGTTTTCGTTTTCAGCCTATAAGCGGATATACAGCGTGTCCCGTATCTTCCGCATCAGAGCATTATACGGTTGTAGAATACATTATTCTGAAGCGATCTTTCTAATAAAATTTTTTCGAAATGTTTATAATAACCGCACGGGAACTGTTTAACGACGACCAATAACTGACGACTTTGATTCATCGAAATAGTTTATTTCTCTTTCCATGACGAATCTATTGGTGAGTACACGTGGGAAACGAGTTATCATCGGCGTAGCGGACCGGCCGAGGGTGGCACCGATTACCTGAGTCTGATTTGCGATCTGCTGATTGGACGAAAAACAGTTCCTTTACACAGTTCCCGTGCGGTTATTATAAACATTTCGAAAAAATTTTATTAGAAAGATCGCGTCAGAATAATGTATCCTACAACCGTATAATGCTCTGATGCGGAAGATACGGGACACGCTGTATATATTTCGCTCCGATTTCCAACCCTTATAACTCGCCCCAGGGGTTTATTAGCACGTATAAAAATATACGTAAACCTTATTTTTGGCCATAGTATCGCTGTACCAAATTTCAACAAAATCGGTGAGGGACAGTTCTGATACTTCCCTTGTCAGATTAGCTTTCCTATGGGTTTCAGAAACTGAAACTGATGGTCCCCTAAATTTTGACATATTTTTTTGAATTTAATACATTATTACCTCATTTCATGTGGAATTTATTTCTAAAACTTCTTTTACTCTCCTATTATTTTTTAAAAAACATTGTCGTTTTCATAAAAAACTTAAATAACTAAAGACACGTTATAGCTATAGTTTTTATTACACCTTTTAATTGTACGTAAAAAATATGTTGACTTTGATAAAACTTATTGGTACTGTAATATTTTAGTTAACCTGTTACATTGATAAGGAAACACGATAATAATTAACAAAAAAAATATTAACTTTATTATTAACTAAACTTTTGAATACTCTTATCTCAGGGTTTTTTTAAATAAAAACTGCAATAATAATAACCTTGTTTATATATACTTATAGTTAATCAACGGACTTGTCTGAACAACGTCGCCCTATATTAACCAAAGGTGGAACCTTCCAATGCTTAGTGCAGAACTAAACCTTAGCATTAAACAACGTTAAAATGTCCTGACGTGTAGTTACAAGTTAATCGTAAATGAATTAATTTGTTCTACACAAAAATGAGAACGCCAGTTTTTATGGTTTTTAATTTGAATTATTTATTTATTTTTTTATTTTGTTTTTTTGTAGTTATGGTTTTTTATATTTTATTAACAAACTTATCACTACGATATTATAATATATTACACTTAATGAATGTGGCGGTTGCCACATGACGTCACCGCCTGGCAATAAATCACCACTTCCTTATCTCTATGAGTGCCTGCCTAATAGAACGCAAAAGAACGCCGTTTCTTTGTCGCTCTTTTTTACCGTCATGTCGAATTAAATGGGGAATACTATATAACAGGACAAAATACACGAAGTAAACGTGTTAGGCCTGTTTCAGACACAACGATTTTTAACCGTACGGCAGATAAACCGCCGGCTTTTCAGATTTTTAGTGTGAACGGGCGTATTTACATTATTAGTTTACCACCGACCCTTCACGGTTAGAATCTGTGCGGCAAATATCGTTGTGTCTGAAACAGGCCTTAGAAAACCTAAATAAATACATATTCGGCGCATAAAATGTTAGAGAAATAAACGAAAAAAAAACAACTAGTAAGAGAAATAAAGAAATTATTTTTATTATTATATTTAAACAATTACAACACCTATGTACACATACTTCACGTACCTGGACCCGACGTGGAGTTGATCCAACTGATGAAGACGGAGGGGGGATTCCCGACGGGACGAAGAGCCCCCTCCGATGCCTGTAAGTTAACGGTTTTACATGCAAACGTAAAAGTAAACTCAGGGAAGAAGACAAGAAGAGTTATAAGAAAATAATGGAAGCTTTCACGAGTTACTGTGAACCACACAAGAATGAAACATATGATCGTAATAAATTCTTAACAAGATCTCAAATGGAGGGAGAGGATTTTGACCATTTCGTTATGGAATTAAAAGCAATGGCAAACAGCTGTAACTTCGGGGATCAAGAAGAATCACTCATAAGAGACAGGATAATCATTGGAATCAGAGACAAGACATTAATGGAGAGATTACTACGAGTACCGGAGCTAACTTTAGCAAAAGCGGAGACACAGTGCAGGGCGGCAGAAGCTAGCAAATTGCTTTCTAAAGAAATAAGAGAGAGTCCATCTGTTGATAGTGTAAGTAAATTTAAAAACGGGTTTGTTAATAAGAAAAATAATTCAAATGAAAATAATGATTATAATTGTTTGAAATGTGGTAAAAGACAAGTAAGAGGTAATTGTCCGGCGTTTAGAAAACAATGTAATTACTGTAAAGGTATGAATCATTTCACTGTAGGGTGTAAAAAGAAAAATAATAAAGGTAATACTAATAAAAATAAAAAGATTCCCTCGGTTGATAATAATTGTTCTGATAGTGATAATTCAGATAATACTGTATTAGACGAGATTATACTAAGTAGTATTGATCGCATCACAATAAATAATAATGAAAAAACGTGGTACCAAACTATTAAAGTAGGTCATTTAAATGTTAAATTTAAGTTGGATACTGGAGCACAGTGTAATGTTTTACCTCCAAAAATATTCCAGAAGCTTTATAGTCTGTCTAGTTTAACAAATTGTGAAAAACACATATTAACCTATGGGAATAATAAAATAGAGATTAAGGGTTCCATAATAATTGAATGTATTTTTAAAAATAAAAAATATAAAATTAAATTTATTGTAGTAGATGTGGAATCTTTACCGATTTTAGGACTAAACACATGTGTAGGGTTAGGATTAATAAAAAGATTGGATGAAATGAACGTTAGTACAAAAGAAAAATCAAAATTTATAAATTTAAATAAAGATGTTTTTGAAGGTGTAGGGAAGGTTCCGTTCCAATATAAAATAATCCTAAGCAACAATGCTATTCCTGTTTCATGTTGCAATAGAAGGGTACCTGAAACCATTAAGACTAGATTAAAGACAGAGTTAGATAGGTTAAGTAAAAAGGAGATAATCGAAAAAGTAGAAGAACCTACCGAATGGGTCAATAATATAGTTATTATAGAAAAAAATAATAAAAGCTTACGTTTGTGTCTGGATCCTTGTCACTTGAACAAGTTTGTATGCATGGAACAATACCCAATTCCTACGTTTGAGGAAATTGCTCTAAAACTTAAAGATAAAAAGATTTTTACAGTTCTGGATATGAAGGAAGGATTTTTTCATATACAGCTTGATAATGAAAGTAGTAAGTTGTGTACTTTTATCACTCCATTTGGAAAATATAAATACAAAAGATTGCCTTTTGGCCTCAAAACTAGTCCAGAGGTATTTCAAAAACTAAATGAAAAAATGTTTGGTGATTTGGATGTGGAAATTTACTTCGATGATTGCATCATAACGGGAAAAGATGAAATCGAACACGACATGTTAATGAAAAAATTTTTGGAGAGGGCAAGAAAATACAATGTGAAGTTTAATGCTGATAAGGTACAATATAAGATTTCACATGTTAAGTATTTGGGTCAAATAATTTCGGGCGATGGAACAAAAGCTGATCCAGATCAGATTAGATCGATTCTTGAATTGCAAGAACCTAAAAATAAAAAAGAATTGTTGAGAGTGTTAGGAATGTTTAATTATTTGATTAAATACATACCGAATTTGGCCGAACATGCTACACCATTAAGAAATTTAATAAAAAGCAAATCAGATTATGTTTGGACAGTGGATCATTCTGATACATTTAATAACCTTAAAAAAATAATCACTCAGTTACCTACATTGAGTATTTTTGATCCAGAAAAGCCAATAGTAATTCAGACAGATGCAAGTCAAAGTGGTTTAGGAGGATGTCTCCTACAAGACAACAAACCGATCTGTTATTGCTCGAGAGCATTAACTGAATGTGAAAGTAGATACGCACAAATTGAGAAAGAACTACTGGCAATTTGTTTTTCATTAAACAAATTTCACCAATTCATTTATGGTCGTAAAATAATAGTTAACAGTGATCACAAACCACTGAGTGCCATATTAGAAAAAGATATTTCAAAAGTCTCATCAAGACTTCAAAGGATGAAACTTAAATTATTAAAATATGATTTTAAAATAAATTACTTACCAGGGAGAGAAATGTACATTGCTGATTTTCTATCCAGATCATACATAAAATATGACGTGCAGGATCCGTCAATGCAAGAAATAGTACATACACTGGAAATTAAACTACCCATATCAGACATTTGTCTTAATGAAATAAAAACATACACCGATAATGACGAAATTTCACAACAATTGATTAAACTTATAAACAACAATTGGGAAACTGAAAGAAAGAAGTTGAATCCTACAGTGAAAGTATATAGGAAAATAAAAAATGATTTATATTACAGGAACAATTTAATTTTCCTTAACAACAAAATTGTAGTCCCATTGAAATACAGACAGGAAGTGCTAAAGAAATTACATAAAGCCCATTTTGGCATAACAAAAACAAAGCTAAGAGCTAGACAAATCGTCTACTGGCCAGGTATGTCTCAAGAAATAGAAGATTATATTAAAAAGTGTAAAGTATGTGAAAAATTTGCTTCTAAAAATGTTAAAGAACCTTTGATTCCACATAAAATACCTGATTTACCGTTTCAAAATGTAGCATCAGATTTGTTATTTTATGCACAAAAAGATTACTTAGTTGTAGTAGATTATTACAGTCGATGGATAGAGCTCCAACAGATTCCAGATAAAACAGCAAATACTGTAATCAAGATTCTGAAGAAAATATTTGCAAGGTTTGGTATTCCTGAAACATTCATGTCTGATAATATGCCATTTCAGCGTTTTGAATTCAAAAGTTTTGCTAAAAAATGGAATATAAGACAAGTTACGTCAAGTCCAAGATATCCGAAATATAACGGACTTGCTGAAAAGGCGGTAGGAATATGTAAAAAAATGCTGAAAAAATGCCAAGAGTCAAATGATGATATCGAAGAATATTTATTGGAACACAGAGTTACACCCAAACCGGGACTGAATTTGACACCGTCACAACTGTTGTTTAGTAGAATATTGAGAACGACTATACCAACAGATAGAAGAATCTTGAAACCAAAACTCAACAAAGATATTGATAAAATTATGGAAAATCGACAAAATAAAGTAAAGGATCTCTATGACAGAGGAGCCAAAGAAGGATTGACTTTAAGCAAGGAGAAAACATAATGGTAAGAATATTGAAGGATTGGGTTCCTGCGAAAATTGTGAATAAGGCAGAAACGCCAAGGTCTTACATTATTAGAGACATTAACAATAAAGAATATAGAAGAAATTCCAGTTTTCTCAGAAAATCAATGAATGAGCCAAACTTTGAAAATAGCAAAGATAATGACTTACAAGAAGGGGAAAAAGAAGGGGAGAATTTACCAAGACCCGAAATCCCTAAAACACCACAAACAGAGACTCCATTCCTTAATACAAAAGCAGGTCGTATCATAGTAAAACCTAGTAGATTTAAGGATTATGTTTAAGTGTACTAAAAATAGATTAAAATAAAAGAGGGTGATGTTATATAGTATTAAGATAGTTGCAGGTTGGCAACAATGCGCTCGTCCGCCATTACGCAGAACGTAGTGAATAGAGTAAACGCAACGTCACGCAGTTTCCAGTGTAATAATAATTATCTATTAAATAAAGTATAATATAAGATATAATTTTGTTCATCATTATAAATACAACAACTCCAACAAATATGTTCTATGCTGTTGACATTTTCCTTTCCATTCGGGCAAATTTCTGTTTACCTTCTCTTTAATTTTTAATAATAACGTGTTATACATCTGCTTTTTTGAGGCATATTTTTCAAATACATTATTGAAACATAACATACTTAGTTTGGTTGCTTTTGTCAGGAAACTTGTTGGTTTTTTCAAGTCGGCCGGATTTTAATATTATAATTTTTATAGAAAATAAAAATGTTGTCTTTATCCGTTAGTTCTTGTGCACAGATAAGATCACGCGTGCAGTTGTTGCATTGGAATTTGTCCGCACATTTTTTGGCTGACATCTAAGCCATCCTGCTATATAAGTTATGGCACAATCTTCTAAGGTGACATCGTGGGAGGTCTTTGTTTCATCACTATCACTACTGGATGAAGATGATGTTGCCTTTTCGGAGGAATCAGTTTCATCAACATTTTGTACACTTGAAAAATCATCCATATTTAAGATGTTCTCGCCAAAAGCAACATCGCATTCACAGTTGGACGTTTTTGGCGGTTTCATTAAATTCATTATCGAGTCGGATTTCTGTTGTATCCTTCTCTTTGCCTGCATATAAAACTGATTTTCTAGGATATCTTGATTTAACCTTGATGTTAATAAAAAAGTATAACCTTTCCTTGCTTGTATTTTTGAAATACTTTTAACAGCGTTTCTCATTAACAGAAAGCCGTCAAAATAAGGTGGTCTATTTATAGTTTTCTTTTGTACACCGGTCCGTCTTCCTTTTTCCACTTTTCTTAGATTTTCTAATATCTCATATGCCTTGTCTAAAGCAGCGATACAATGAATATTATTATCGGAGAGTGCTCTTCGATATACGTTTTTTTCATGCAATGCCCTGCTATTCAATGCATCAAAGGCGTTATTGATCATTTCAATAAAAGTTGCAGTGGCATCAGCTGATGTGGACATCAGGTGACCGGTCTCCTTTGAAGTTCTGATTGCTGCGCTGACGGAGTGGCTTAATACTTGGGCAACCAATCTTACATTCATCCGCTGAAAGAGATTGGGACATAACTGTACGTCTGTAACGTGGGGTAATGCTCGCCCCGTGGAACTGCTTTTATCCAGCGCATAGGTGGCAGTGATGTCTTGATGATACCCGTTGGTGTTTATAAATAAAATCACTATTTATTAAGTTATTTCTGACGCTTTTCAGTAAATGAGGTGCGTCATACAACATAATATATTTGGTATCACCAACCTTAAAATAAGGTTTATTGACCTTAACACCCAGTAGCGAAAATAGTTTTTGATTAGTTGTTGACTGATCGCATACAATAGCCACAGGTTTTAAACCAATTGTCCTCAATTCTTCGAGAGTGGTTTTTAGTATTGTCTCTAGTTGTTCAGCTCATACACCGCTATTTGTGAGATAAAAACTTATTGGAATTTTCCACGAAGAATATAAAAAACCCCTTGCAATCAGTACCAATGCATGTTTTGCAAATTTTGAAGTTCGTCCGAGTTGCCCCAAATCTTCAAATCCCTAAATCAGTCCTCTATTGTTGGTGAATTCTAAAGTTTCTTTTAGAGCCATTTCATCAAACACTAAAATGCACTCTCTTGTTTTTTCTGTCATTGTTTCTACCTTTAAGGCTAGGCCTGGGCGGAAGGTATATTTTCGTGGCTGATGGTGATGGCAAGACAAGACCTTTTCTTATCATAAATTGGTATGTGGACGGTGATTTATAAAATAGGGATAATGCTGCCTGCTTCTCGTCACTAAGTAAAGGTTGTCGACATTTATGGCGGACCTACATTCTAACAAATGATCTAGCAAATGGATTCAAGGTACGAAGGTCTCTTGGAGTTGTAATAGTTGAAAAATTCTTCAGAGCACATTTTGCCTTCACTAATTTATTTTCAGTTTCAACTAATTTTCTTTTAAGTTCAGTTTGAGACCAGTCTTCAAAAGGCGTCTTCCTCTTTCGAGGTGGTGACGGTAAATTGGTTATACAGCCTGAGTAAGCGCCTTATTTTTTTTTAGCCACATTATGGGTACTACATTCAAAATATTTGGCAGTAATATGTTTTGGGTCATTCTCTACACGATGGTGATGCCACATTTTCAATTGGAAGAATTATTTCAAAATGGCGACTGTCAACTTTTTTTTTTTTAAATGGAATGCCAAAATTTTTTTTTATTATTGAGGTCCTAAAAACATTCTTTATGCGATAGTATTTTGTTTTTCTTAAAAATTCATTTCTTTCCCCATCAAAAAGCACACATTTTAATCTAGTAGCGCATGAATGTTTTACGCTCGATGTTATTTTTGTCCAAATATCAAGTAGCGCTAGACACAAAAGAAACAATTAAATTTTATTTTGTAATAAACATCTACTTATTTATTTATTTTGACATGGTTCATCCGCATTCTTACTGTATGTATATCTGCTTGAAGCATAAGGATAAACTGGAGAAACTTGCGACTGCGAAGTCATAGGGGACTGAAATGATATTGGTATAGCGGTGGCACTTAGTTTCCTTCGCATAAAATCTTCTTGTCTGAAGTGGTCCGCGCAAAATACTCGCTTTTTTAAACGATCGGGACTTAATTGGGCTAACTCCCAATTTCCTGTAAAAAATTATTAGTGTTTAAGATTATATTAAAGTAATTAATGCAATTATTCAATTATTGTTTTATATACAAAGATAATCCAGTCTCCGTTAACAAATCACTTTTCGTTTTTAAGATATAAAGGTTAGAGTAAATAAATAATTCGGCGTAATATACAATAAAACAAATAGCTACACGCCTACTTAATTAAACATTTAATATAGTTTTATTTCTTTTTGTGTTAAAGTGCGTTAAACACAATAATAAAACAATATTAAACAATTATTATAGAGAACACATTATGCGAAAGAAGTTTACTTCTTACCTGCATTTATAATCCATTTTTGCAGTCTATCCGGATCACGAACTTGAAAGCCAAATATCCGTAAATTGGGGGTATTTTGCAAACTCTTCCCGCATTGGAAGTATAAACATTTTCTCGGTATTCTAATTTAACAAAATTCGTAAATCAATAATAAAATATAAGGATTTCAAGACACTATTCATAATATGCACTTCGCTTACCTGATGTTATGTAAATTAATAAAAACATAAAAAGTTTATAACAATATTTAACACTTAACTGTATGAACTAATAAAAACAACTATTACTATAACTAAACTATTTAAAAAGCAAGCATAATAACTCCTAAATTCGTATCCACAACTACACGTTCGCTGGACAATTTGTTATCCCTCACATTGGCGGGTTTGTACAAGACAATCGAAAGCGCCCTCTCTGATTGAGACACGTAATTATCTAAATACTATCTGAGATTAGAACCATAAGATTATTCCCCTTTCGACAGAGTCGCCCCCTGGAGATGTTCTCCCTTAATTAACCGACCGTTGACCAACTATAAGTATATATAAACAAGGATAATAATATAGCGAGTTCAAGTCCAAAAAAAGAAAATTAATTTTACAGGTTTCTATTTTTAACTTCGTTAACTGAGAGAGAGAGCGTATACCGCCAATAAAGACAGATGTCAAACTATTATGTTTACGTTAAGAAACTAATAAAAATTATAAAGACTTAACTCTGTCGATAACAATCGATAAATGCTCAAACAAACCGAGGTAAAACTGCATTGTACGGTAATGAAACTGAAATGGGGTGGGGGTACCCAGCTGTTGTGACTGTGCGTGTGTGTGTGTGTAAAACAGACGTTTAATACAGCTATTGCCCACTAGAGGTTTACTAATTAGGTTTCTACTAAAAACAAAATTTGTTATAATGTAATTGCAATAAATACATACAGCAAAAATGAAATAAACAAATAAAAACAAATATAATTAACTTATACAAAAAATGTAACGTGAAATATTATATTTCAAAAATTAGAGGTTGAATTAAGTTGGTCGTCAAATGTGTCCTTTTCATTGAGAAAGACACATGGTTGTTTGATTTATTTTATAAATAAAAAAATTAACAAATATAATTTTTGTTTATTTATTTACCCGTGTTTAATCTACTTTTTAATTTTGTTACTGTTTATTGAGTGTTACTGTTATTTTTTAGTGTTACGTTTAAATTACCTATAAGAAGTATGCATTTTTATTGATTTTTTTAATATTTAACTTATAATCCGCTTTAGAAAGCCCCGCGAGCCGCCGTTGATTTAAAAGTAAAAAAAAAGAAAAACATGTATTTTTCAATTCCGGTTCACAATTATGCCATCTAGTGGCTACAAGCTTAACTAATGGTAGAGCGATGTCTTTTTTGTACGGACACACACACAGGCACGACCGCTGAGTTCCCCCACCACATGTCAGTTTCTTCACCGTTCAATGCAGGATAACCATAGAAATCTGTAAAATTAATTTTCTGCCGTTTTTATTAAAAAAAAACCCTGAGATAAGAGTATTCAAAAGTTTAGT